TGAACGTGAAGCCCTTGCCACGGTAGAACTGGTCCGTGTAGTCGCCCATGCGGCGGTAAGCCTCCTGCGCCGCGGCGTTGCCCTGGCACTCCTCCTTCCAGGCACGTTTGTGTCCCAGGTGGGCATCTGCGATCCCCGAGGCTGCCAGGAGACCCCTCTTCAGCCTTCCCACATCCACCTCCGCCTCCTCGTTCAGCGCGTCGAGCCACTTCTGGACTCCGTCCTGCGCCTCGGTGCCCCTCACCATGTCCTCCTTCTTTTCCAGGATGGGCCCCAGGCCGCCCAGCATGCGGGCGCGCATGGTCTCGAATTTGAGGACGCCATAGGCCCACGCCATGCGCTTCAGCGACTTCTTGGATAGGCCGAGCCGCAGCAAGGGCTCGATGTCCGTTACCTCTTTCACGGTCTGGACCTCGGTCAGCTGGAGCCCCTGGTCCTCCGCGTCCACGTAGGGCTGGGGGTCGTTCTCCTCGTCACTGGGAGGTTCTTCCTCGAGGGGCGGGGGTGGCGCGCGGGGCGGCCCTGGCACCACCCCCGCCTCCCTCGCCATCGGGCGGCCCACCTCCCTCGCCACTTCTTCCGTGGCTGGGGGGGCGCCTGTACTCTCGGGGTCGATGCCCACCCCCACGCCCTCCGTTGACCTCCGCAGGGCAAGCAAGCCTTCCTCTGAGAGCGCGAACCCCACCAGGACGTCCATGCCCTCCTTGGTGTAGTCGAAGCTCGCACGGAACTTCGCCACCCGCTTGGCGGCATGGTCAGTGGAGCCTGGGCCCTTGTTCGCGCGCGCAGCGCGCGTCACGGCCTCGTGCTCGGAGATGCCCTGCGTCGTTGCCACGCAGTTCGAGCACATGAACAGCTTGTACTGCCCCTCGTTGCCCCTCCTCAGATCGGGGTATTTCTCGTTGTGCTCTTTGGCTTCCGCATAGCGGCGCATCTCCGCACAACTGAGCTCGTCCACGTACTCCACCGCCATGATCTTCCAGTCGTCCAGCGCCGTGCACCCCCGACGCCAGCCCAGGCGGTGCGGTGCGACCCAGTACGCGCCCATGCAGTGGACGTAGCCCGCCTCAACGTAGTCCTCCTCCGTCATCATCTCTACGTCTTCGAGCGCGGCTGGTGCGCCGTCGCTCGGCTGGGGGGCCTGGCCGTAGACGGCTTTGCTGCTGCGTCGGCGGTGGCGCTTGCGCCCCCACGGCCGCTGAGGGCCCCCGCGGTCGCAGCACTCGGGGCCTCGCTGGCGGCCCCGTCGTCCACGGCGCGCTACACGCCGCCACGGCCGCCCACAGCATGCTCCCTCAGCTGAAGGTTGTGGAGCGCGAGGGCGAGCGCGTCCAGCCCGCGCCGCTGCTCTGCGGTGATGTCGGCATACGTGGATGCCGCCGCCAGGGCGGCTGATGTCACTGGCACCACCGCCGACGCAGGCATCGCCGAGGCGCCATCGGAGGCGGCGGCACTGGGGGCGGCCCCCGTACCGCCGCCTCCATCGGCGTCCTCAGCGGGGGTAGCTGATCCCGTGTGCACCGTAGGTGCCGTCCGAAAGGTCGCCGCCTCGGACACCAGGTCGTACTCCTCGCCTTCGCTCTCCGACAAGCTTACCTGCTGGACAGGGCGCTGCATCGGTCTTGCTTTGGAAGTTGGTGCCTCCCCCGCGGCGCACGTCTTTGCGGGCCACGGCATCGGCACAGGCTTCGAGAACTTGGGCGCCATCACTTGGTCGGGTGGATGGCACGAGAGGTGCAGCTCGAGAGAATGTGCGAGGCAGTTACTCACGAGCCAAACAGCTGACGGGGGGGAAGGGGAGGGGAGGAGGCTGCACACCGAACCAAAATGGGGCGGCCAACTGCCAGGGCGGGACAAAGGTGACACAGGAAGACGATGGGCTGAAGCCAGCGGTTCCAGATGCGCGGGACCCGTGCACTATGATGGCGGAAAACGGCCTGACCCCCGCCCGGGGCCCTGGACGGGCAGGAGAGGGGGGAGGGGGACGAGGAAACCACGTCGCGGGCGGGCGACAAAGCGGGCGGCGGGCAGCCGACGGCCCCAGGACCCGCGGGGAAGCCCCGATCTTCAACGCCTCTTGACGCCTCTTTAGCCAGCGGCCTAGGGCAGGTGCTGTTGGTTGCATGAAGGCCCATCCCCGATGGGCAGCGAGACCACCTCATGCCAGAGATGACGAGCATCAAAGATGAGGCATGTCGAGACCACAACATGCGCAAAGCAAGGAGGCAACACACCATGGCGTGCAGACCAAACATGACACTACAGAAGCGCGCTGTGTGCGCGACCTGGAGACTGAGCAAAACCTTGCATACTGCAGAGGTGGCAAATTTTTTATGACCACTCAGGGCTGCGGGAAGGAGGAAGGGGAGAGGTGGGCCAGTGCTCGCAAGCAAGTGGGGCGGGGCCACAGCTAGTCAAGACTGGACGCTCGGGGCGGCCCCTGCATCCAGTCTCGCTGCGTCCTCCGTCGCCAGGGCGGCCTGCTCCGCAATATGTCCCTGCAGGGCGTTGGCTACTGCCGACCGCAGGGCTGCACGAGCCGCGGGCCGTTCGGCCTCAGCCAATTCCCCTACGGCACGGCGCAGCCACGTCTCCGCCTCTGCGCCCCAGCGGCCGTTGACATCTAGGACACAGGGCACCCGGCCCGAAAATGCGTACCTACGGTGCTTCACTTTCCCTCTGCGCTGCAGGGCTGCCTGGCGCGGCCGCCCCGTCTGGGCCACTGCCACCTCGTCCACCAAGCTGATGTCGAGGCAAACTCGGCCATGGATGCCTCGATGGTAGACCACGTCCAATGTGGCCGCCCCTTGCTCCTCCGTGCACCACTCTGGGATGACCTGCTCCAGCAGGGCATGATGGCCCACCTCGCGCAGCCAGAGCGCCACGGCGTCTCGAATGGCATTGCGGCGTCGCGTCGGGCCGCCTCCCCTGGGGCAGTTGAGCGCATGAACGCCCCAAACGTCCACCGCGCGGCCGCGCGTCGGGCCGTGCTGCGCCATCGCGCGGGTGGGCGCTGCTGGTCGGTTCTGGCACGTGCACTCGGACTGCAGCAGCGGCAAGTGCATGCGCCCCTCGGCAGCAATGCAGAACGCATGGTCGGCGAGGGGCGAGACCCCCTCGAAATTAACCAACCAGGCGCCCGCCGAGCTGCCCGAGGCACTGTGGACCGCCGCCGCTGCCGTTACTGGCAGCGCGGCTGTGAACGTCTTGGTGACGTGGTCCCGCACGTGCTGGGTGTACGTTTTCTGGTCCTGTCCCTTCCGCCCCTCAGAAGGCCCTGCCAGCGGTCGCTCTGAGGACGACGACCGCCAGCCAGCCGCCCCTGCTCCTCGTCTGCTGCTGAGAGGGCACGGCCAAGGCCTGGCCACCTCCGAAAGAGGCCGATCGTTGTCGATTCTCGGAGCTCCTGGGCTGCCACGTGAATCCCAGCTCCCCAGGATGCCAGGAGGGCGGCTGGGCCGCGCTGCTCAGCGCTGCCACAGCCCAGGCCCCCGTCGCTGACCTTCATGAAGATCTGCTCCCTGGGAGCCGCCGTGACCCCGAGCAAGGCGTTGACGAAGGCGACCACTCCGTCATCCACCCTGCGGCTCCATGCCGCCGTGAGTGGGAGCGCCCGCTGGATGTGGACGCAGGCGCCCCTCGACCAGATCCGCATTAGCTGGAATGCGTCGAAGGCAGAGAGCCCATGTCCGCGAAGCGTCAGCAGCTCCTTGAAGTAACGGTCTTGCTTCTGGAGGAAGGCTTCGCCGCTGGGGGGTGGCGCGGCGGCGCTCGGGGCGGCCCCGGCACCGCCAGCCTGCCCGTGCCCTCCCTCATCGAGGTCCTCTGGGACGGCGAAGTCCGTGAGTGGGACGCCCCTCCAGTCGGCGCCCACGTCGTGGTTCGCGCAGGCCAGGGGGCCCCAACCGCCTTGAGCTTCTGAACAAGGTACTGGGCGTACTCTGCAAACTCGGGCGGCAGGACAGCTTGGGCGTCGGGGGACCATATCTGGGTCTTGGACATCTTGAGCTTCACCCCGCGGGCTTCGATGCGGGCGCGCCACGCATCCAAGCGACGGAACACGGCGGCCGCGGTGCCCACGAAGTACGCGTCGTCCAGGAAGGCTAAGCAGCACCCTTCCATGTCCACCGCGCGCACAGCCACGCGGCCGATGCTGAAGGTATCCGCGGTACCAACCGCGTAGAAGCCTGGGCTCATCGGGCAGCCCTGGTCGAGGCAACGGATCTGGTCGACCAGCTGGGCGGGTTGCGACCCGCCCCCCGCCGCGTGGCGTGTTCGGGCGGGGAGCCAGGCTTCCGCCAACGGGGCCAGCGCAGGCACCTTGCTGCGCACGGCCTCCTTCACCAGGTCGCGGGGGATGTTGCTGAACGCATCCCCGAGGTCCACCGCCACCACCCACTTGCCTGGGCTCGAGTTGGCCATCGTGCGTAGGCGTCGGTGGAGTGCACCACATCCGTCCTTGGCAAGGCCGAACTGCTGGTCCCCCACCGCCGTCCGCATGTCCTCGTGGTGGACTTTGGCGGCACTGCGGCCCACCATGCGGCGGGTGACATTTCCACAGCCCAGGACTCGCACATCCCCAGG